TGTCCACAGTGGAGTCAGAGCTTCCACGGCCAGCCGGGCTCCCTGCTGCCACCATGTCCACAGTGGAGTCAGCTTCCAGGGCCAGCCACAAGTTCTGGCTCAAAGTCAGAACAGGAGCGAGGCCCTCAACTCCAGTGAAGCAGCTCCTTTTTCAACCCCGACGCCTCCGACGAAGTGTGTGTGTTTTATGAGGGTAAGGATCATGATGGCACAGAGCGTGTTATATGAAAGCAATGATCACGATGGCAGCTGCCACCGAAATATTTTACCAGCACACCCTTCTGACTGCAGCATTTCTCAGAAGAAAAGCTCAGGTGAAAAGCTCCTGGAATTTTCCAGATCTTCAGGTGGCTTTATTAGCATTGCCACATACCAAGAAAAGGGATTTCCCTAGAGGTTAACCTCTAATCCAGTGAAACTTTGCTCATGCCTCAAAACGGAGCCAAGACTCCGACTAACACACGTACATCAAAATGGACAAAAGCGAGTCTCGACTCACTTGACACACAGAATAGGCACAAAAGAATGTACAATCGGTACAATTCCAGAATGTCTCTGACAGGAAAAAGCATCCTCTGCTGACGTGAAATAAACGTTAACTTTGAGATTACACCAACAATGCCTTTTTTTTTTTTTTAAAGACAGGTCTCACTCTGTTGCCCAGGCTGGAGTGCAATGGCATGATCTCGGCTCACTACAACTCCTGCCTCCCGGGTTCAAGGGATCCTCATGCCTCAGCCTCCCGAATAGCTGGGATTATAGGCGCCCACCACGGCACCCCAATAATTTTTGTATTTTTAGTAGAGATGGAGTTTCGCCATGTTGGCCAGGCCAGTCTGGAGCTCCTGGGCTGGAGTGATCCCCCTGCCTCGGCCTCCCAGAGTGCTGGGATCACAGGTGTGAGCCACTGCGCCCAGCCAGGTCAGTTCTTTATCAGGAATTTCCAATTCCCATCTCTGTTTACCAAGAGAACTAACTGATACGAATCCTGCCTTTGAATGTGTGTGGAACACGTCCTCCACCTTCACCTGCTGGCCTCTCATGTCCCAGGAGCTCTTTGGTGGCAGTCAGCGTTTAGCAAATAGAGTGGAAAGCGTGTGCAGGAGACGCAGGCTTGGGTGTGCTCTGTCTGCTCCTGTGGTCTATCGGGCAGGTGCAGGGAGACGCAAGGGAAGCCTGAGGGACGCTGACTCCCCGTGGAGATTTCTCCGTACAGCACGACAGCGTGGCTGTATCCCAGATCCCTGACTCCTGAAGAGAGTCTAAAAAGAGCTGAGTTCTCTCTAAATTCTTCAATGGTTCATCACCAAATTCTTGGTTCTAAGGCTTTGAATCTTTAAATAATAGATGTGCATCTAGACTTGGGTAAAAACTAGAAACCTGTTCTCCCACCCAAGCCTTTGCTTTAGTAATTCTCTAGCTGACAGTCTGGCCGGGCGGGCACCAGGGGCGCTGAAGGCTCACTCAAGTCATTGGTGAACATGTCCAACTGAGTCTGGGCTGAGGGACCTGGCTCTGCATTTTGTAAAATAGATACTAGCAGATCTTCCCAAGACGTGTATGGCTCATTCTCACAGCCCAAAGAGGGCACTTACTTACTCCACAAATGCGCAGCCATAGGTCATCATCTGTCCTGTGACCCTGGCAAGCCTGATCCCTCACACCAGGCACCCACACGGCCTGCGTGCCTTCTAGACTTGAGTTCGCAGCTCTTTAAGGAGCTCTCGGGCCAGTTTTCCTGATCTAGGGCTTTCAATGCCGAGACGATCCCATCTGTACAAGGTCTGGTCAAGAAAGCCAATGATCTCGTGAGTTATCTCGGCAGTGTGAGCCATCTGCAATCAGGACAGAAGAGAAGGCAAATTAAAACACTTTCCAGATTTGTCCCTTTGTCCAGGGACGGACCATAACCACCCAGTCCCTGAAAGACGCCCTATGCAGCATTTCCATCAGTTCCAAAGCACAGCACGGGGAGCTCTTGTTTTCAAGGTGTTGGCACAGCAAGTCTGTCTCCACGGCCGGCTACACGGTGCGCGGTGCCACTTCCTAACGAGCCTCCGTGCATTGAGCTCAGCTGCCAACAGCATTAGCCTCATAAAGGCCGCAGACAAGAGCTGCAATCAGAGGTGCCTCTCGGAATGCCAGTCACAAGCTGTGGGAGGGTGGGCTGCGGGGAGCAAAGGCACATGAGCATGCTGTGGCTTGACTTTCTGCAAAAGGCTCACACGAATATGAGAGTTGGAAGATGCCACCTGTTTTCACACAGACAGCCCAGGAATCTGGCATCCCCGGGCTAGAACCAGACCTACTTGCTTTTTAACAGGCCTCTAAGGTTTTAACACCTGATTCTTGCAGGAGAGCATGAGACACAGCCTCAAGGCATTCATACTTGTTGGTGCCTGTAAGTATTTTTCTAAAAACTTCGGTTAAGGAAAAAGGGAAGGGTGAGAATCTTAAATTCAACTGTGTGGGGAATTTACGGTTTTTTAAGCACAAGCAGTATTAAGAAGGCTTAAGTTTTTGAAAGAGTAACCGATACATTCATTTAGTGTGTGTCAGTTTGTACAGAACCTGCAAATGTTTAATTAGCCAGAGCAGCCCAAGGTCAGCTTCCTCTGGAAGGGTTGGGACGTTCTGGGAGGGTGAACTTGGTTTTCCCAGGACTAGTCCGGTTTTACTGCCTCTGGTCTGATAGCCCAGGACACCCTTCAGAACTGGGCTTCCACCTCCTGACCACCAGTAAAGGGAGCCTTGTCACATGCACACTGTGTGAACGGCAGCGTGGGGACGCGGAGCTAAGAGTAAACGACGTGGGGCAGACGGTGACGTTTGCTCTCCTCGGCCCCCGCTGGTAGCACCCAGGGCGTGCAGCCAGCCCGCCAGGGCCAGTGCAGCCAGCACGGGGGCTCCAGCTGTGGCCCCGGCGCGTGCCAGTGTGTCCCTGGGTGTCTGTATTGCCATCACTTGGTTTTTACTCAGAAATGACAGGCACATAATGCTGATGGCCTTCGGCAGATGCAGCCCGTCCTTCATCAGGGAAACAGTGTGTGCCTGCTGCTGACCCCTTTCAGAGTTAACAACCACCCAGACCCTGAGTGGGAGGACGGCCCATGGTGATGGGCTCGGCCGTGTCTGAAGAAAGACTGAGTTGTCATTACAAATCCAACCTTGCATCTTCCTTACACGCCAGCACTCCTGGGTGAGCCCTTCCCGGTTCTCTAGTCACACGCGAAAATTCGCAGCCCTGCAGCCACCTGGAGAACCTGCCTCCCTGCTGGCCTTGGCTGGTGCACCAAGAGTGGGTTCAGTTCATATTGAGTTTAACGACTACAGAATTGAACTCTGCATCTCGGAGCCTTGCTAACTTTTGCTGCTGTTGCTGTGGCCGAGCGGCAGGAGGCAGGAGAGGGAGAAGCGGGAATCCAGGCCAGGACAGGAGGTGGAGCCCCGGGGCTGGACTCCACGCGGTCCTCTGCTCTATGCTGGCCTCCTGCAGGCATAGATGAGGGAACGAGTGGACGGCTGGGGCAAGCCAGAGGAGTGTCCGGCGAGAGGCCAGGAGCCAGAGAGGCAGGAGAAGCGCAGGGACACTGGGCAGGGCCTCGTGGATGGAGTTCTGGGCAAAATCGGAGGGCCGAGGTCAGAGAAGATTCCGGGACAGCCAGGGAGCGGACCTCCAGGTGCCTGGAGAATAGCCCACTGTGCAGAGCTCACAGCGGAGGCCACATAGGAGGCAGGCTGTGGGCAGAGGGGGCTGCGAGACCTGTGCGTCCTTTAGGTCAGGTGGAGCCATTTGTTCAAGCCATTTGTTCAAGCCATCTCCAAGAGGGCGCGAGGGCTTTGAAGGGAGACAGCGGCCTTTGCCTCAGGCTGCCTCGTCCTGCCCTGAGCTGGCGCTGCTCTCCAAATCTGGATGCCAAGACAGAGGCAGAGCCTGGGACCAGCTGGGAGGTGGCTGCGCTTGGGCTAGGTCCTGAGGGTAGAGAGACCCAAGCTGCAGGAGGGAAAGGCCGTCCCACCAAAGCCACCATCTGGCCACCACCTGCTCGTGGGCCAAGCAGACTTGGCCCTTTCCAGGGTGCTGTCGGCAGAGGAACTGACAGAGGCCAGGAGAGGCAGGGGCGGTGGGAGGGACTGTTCCCTGGAGACCCTCCCTGCCAGCGGCCACCGCAGCGAAGGCTTCTCATTAGGAAGACTGATGTGTTAATAAAGACGGGTTTTAAAACGTCCGAAAGAATAGCACGCAGGAGGCGCTTTCACCACGGCCGGCGCCCAGATGGCCAGCACCCACCAGACAGAGCCAGTGCACGAGCACCACACCGGCGTCTGCTCCGGGAATGAGCTGCTGTGCGTGTCTTCTCTGCGGCGGAACTGACGTCGGGGGTGTGATGACCCGGCACTGGGGCCCTCCGTGCTCCTGTGGGTTCCCGTGTGGATCAGCAGGCAGGACTGAACCACGTGTCAGGATGGGCTGCCCAGCACAGGGTGCAGGCCGAGCCTCGCAGCAGCCAGCTGCTTACTCCCAGCAGTGTCTCTGGGGCCAGTCTTGAGGGCGATCTGCTTTGAAGGTGGACTGAAAGTTTCCTCAGTCGATGGGAACGTGGTGTCAGGCTAACTGAAGCACAGACCTGGGTGTCTTTGGGGAGCTCTCTCTGGGTGATTTTCTCTCACCCTGTGGGCAGGGCTGGAGCCACCCAACTCCCATGCTAACCCCCGCAACTCCCATGCTAACCCCCGCTGCCAGGCCCAGGCCTTGGGCAGCTTCTCCACTCAGTCGGGCCACAGGGTGGGGGAGGAAGTGCCTGAGCTGGAACGGTCCTTGCCACAGGGCAGGGCTGACCATCTCCCACTGCCCCTCCCCCAGGCCCCCATAAGCACCTTCCCACTGTTTCTGCGAGTTCCAGTCTTTAGATCCACCCACAGCTGAGGGCGCTATTTGTCTCTTGCGTCTACCTTATTTCGCTCAGCGTAAAGCCCGCTAGGTTGGGCCGCGTTGTCGCAGGTGTGCATTTTATAAGAGTACACGAGATTCTCGAAAGCGTTCTCACGGTGCTGGGCCAGGCCCGAAGAGGTGGCACCTGGCATGTGGCAGCCAGTCGTCTTCACCCTTGAGCTGCCTCAGGCTCTCGGATCCGTCTCAGCTGAGACATCAGAACCTGGGAGGCACAGCCTGGGCCCGCTCCACAGGACTGTCCTACCAGGATGGAGACAAACTCCTGGCCCTGGTTCTTGGTAGGTAGGTCATTTGTGACGGGGACTTTCTGCACCTGGACACTCACATTCCAGTCGGGCCCAGCCTGGACGGGAGCAGGAGGGGCCTCTGGGGACTGGGAATATTCCTCTCTTGAGTTGGTTGCTGGCTGCACAGGTGTTGGTTTGTGAAATTCATCAAGCTGTGTGTCTTCTGTATGTATATGTCAACAAAAGTACAAATAAAAAATAAAACAAAACTCCCAGAGCCAGCGTGCTGGTGCTTTTTTTGAGATGAGTATGTTTTTAAATTGTGGTAAAATATACATAAAATGTTCTATTTTACCCACTTTTGTAATTCGGTGGCATGCAGTTGTTTACAGTGTCGCACGGCCATCAGCACCGGCCATCTCCGCCCCTTTCCATCATCCCCACACGGACTCGCCACCCTCCGCCCTGGGGACTCTGTGGTACTTCCTCTTCCTGGACGTGACCCTTCCAGGTGCCTCACCTAAGTGGACTCATACAATATCCTCGTCTCTGGCTTATTTCAATAGCACAGTGTCTTCAAGGTTCCTCCAGGTTGCGGCACTGTCAGACCTTCCGTCCATCTTCAGGCCGAAGAGTACTCTACTGTGGGCACAGACCGCACGCTGCACTGCTTGTCTACGGGCATTTGGGCCGTCTCTGCCTGCTGGCTGCTGATAGTGCCGCCCTGAGCGCGGGGCCAGAGGGCCGTCCAGCCCCTGCTTTCGGCGCTCGGGTATAGATCTAGGAGAACCACCTAGATCTATGGTAAGTCGGAGTTTGGCTGTTTGAGGAGCCGCGCCCTTCTTCTCCACAGCAGCTGCACGATGTTAACGTCCCCACCCGGAAGCATGTGAGTGCTCTGGTTCCTGTGCACCCTCAGGGGCGTTTTTCTCCCCTTGCTGACAGCCATCCTGATGCATCTCGCTACACTTCGCCTCTCCCTGACCACTCGTGCCCTTTCTGTGAGCATCTTCCCACGTGCCTACTGGCCACTGGTGTATCTTCTTTGGACAAGTGTCTGTTGAAGTCCTTCGCCCGTTTTCTAACTGGCCACTGGTGCGTCGTCTTTGGAGAAGTGTCTGTTCAAGTCCTTCGCCCGTTTTTGAACCAGGTTATCTTTTTGTTGTTGAGTCACAAGAATTATTTATGTATTCTGAGTACTAAACTCTAATCACATATATTCTTTCCAAATATTTTTCTCCCATTCTGTGAACTGTGTTTGCACTTTCTTGATAGTATCCTTTGATGCACAAAAGCTTTTAATTTTCATCAAGTCCAATTTATCTATTCTTTTTTTCATTGCTGTGTCTTCGGTATCATATCCAAGAAATCACTGCCAAATCTAATGTCACGAAGAGTGCTCACTTTTGACTTGGACCATTCTTTACCCCTTAAAGTCAAGTGAGCTTCAGGAAGAATTTCTTTATAATAAACCATTTTTTACAAACTAACACAATTCTTTGCACTGTTGCAGTGAATAGCATTGTGGTTGCTTTGTGTGCACATTCTCATTGTGACCGTATTTCTTTCCATGAGGAGGAGGAGAGCAGCACACTGCGATGGAAAGAAATATACACAGGGGGACAGGAGACCTGGTTTCCACTGCGGGCTCTGGCAGCAAGCCATGGTCCCAGGAGATGGCATCTCCCTTCTCTGGGCCTCTGTTTTCTCGTCTGTGACACAAAGGTGCTGGAGGGGGCAGGCTCTGGGGCCATCCCAGCTGTCAACCTCCTTGACCATCTGCCTGTGTTGGGCAGCCTGGTACACACACTGCAGAGGCCACACCCTCGGACAGGGAACCCACCTCTCACCTGCAGCAGAAATGAGTACTAGGATGCTGGACCCCAGAGAGACTTACCAGGGTGATGACATCCCGGGCGATCGTGTGGCCTCCAGGAGCCCAGAGCACGAAGTTGAGGAGAAGGTGCCTGATGAGCTGTTGTGCAGGAGCTCTAGGGTCTGTTTCTGTGTCCTGTCCTGCTGCTGTCGGCAGGTCCCGGGCTGAGAGGCTGCTGCTTCTGGACATCGCCAGGAGGTGGCCCAGCACAGCCTTCACCTGGACCTGGGCAGTAGCATTGCACAGGGGAGAGGTTAGGAAGAGGCAGGACAGACATGCTTCTAGGATTTATTTGCTTTGAAGCAACCCCCAAAAAGGGGCAAGGACAGGCCCCCGAGAGAGGGAGCTTCACAGCGGCCGAGTTTACACTCGACGCCACACAAACCCAAAGGGGCAGAATGGACATTTCTTGCCTTTCTTTCGTCTTGCTCACCAAGCAGTCAGGGCACCGTGCCAGGAACTGACCTTTTTTTGTATAAAAGGAAACAGAGAAAAGTCCTCAACGGAATGTAGTCAGATTTTTATATTGTGGGGAAAAAGAACAAAAGCTTCCTTGAAGACTCGCCTATCACAGCCACAAATCAATTAAAGCCCCATGCAGTCAGACCTCCGCCGAGCCAGCGTTCCCATACGGATGCAGGCTTGCTTTGCTTCTTGCTATACTGGGGATCCGGGCGGGGGGCGGGGGGGCACACACACAGGCACGGCCATACACATGCATGCACACACAAGAACGGCCATACACA